TTGACCAAGTGCCACCGGACCCCTCACGACCGCAGCACCTCTACCACCCGAGGGGCGCGCCGCGAGGGGAGGCGGGGGGCAGCAGCGGGAGGGGCAGGAGCAGCTGGAGTAGCAGGGCAGGAACACGGTCGGGAGTTTTTGAATTGCGTATCGTTCCACTCCTCCTCCTCCTCCTCCTCCTCCTCCTCCTCCTCCTCCTCCTCGTCCTCGTCCTCGTCCTCCTCCTCCTCCTCGTCCTCCTCCTCGTCCTTCTCCTCCTCGTCCTCCTCCTCCTCCTCCTCCTCTTCCTCCTCTTCCTCCTCCGGCCCAGGACCACCTCGCTGCGGCGCGACACGCTGCAGTCCTCAGGCTGTAACGTGCCGCGCCGGTCCCAGCCTCTCGCCTCGCGGAGCGGTGCGACGCGCTGCCCGAATGCCAGGCGTGGTGCGTCGCCGGAGCCACCGCCACGACGCGTTACCCAAAAGTCTCCGACCGTAAGAGGTGGAGGAGGAGGGCGGAGGGGATGGACACGGTGGAGCGGGACGTGGGGGAGGGCGGGGTCGGCCATTCTTGCCGTCTCCGAGCTCCAGCCTCCTGCGCGAACTCAAGGCTGTTGCAGCCTCGCTTCCCGCGGTGCGCCGCGGGCGGCTTGCGCTTTGGGCGCGCGCGCGCGCCTTGCAGCCTGCGCGAAAAACAACAGAGGCCGGGCGGGAGGACTGCCCCCCCCCACACACACACCCCTCCCGGGGCCCATCCTGACCAGTCCGTCGCGCTGCGCGCTGCCGCCGCGAAGGGGAGCCCCCGCGGGAGGCCGAGGAGCGAGGAGGCATCCACGGGGGGGAGGGACGGCCGAAGCCAATGGCAAGCCTCCAGCCAAGAGCGCTGCAGTGAGGGCCGCTCTGGGCTGGGGAGGGGCCCGCTGCTCCGGAGCTTCCTCCGCGGCTCTTCCTCTGGCGCTCGTCGCGCACCCGGGCGCGACGTCTTGGAGCCGACGAGGGGCGTCGTTGTTAATTCCGCGTTCCTTCTGGCGCAGTCAATGCGCACAGGAAGGATGAGCGACTCTCCAAGGTTACCGTTGCATCCGTCCTTGTCGGCTCATCATTGGCCACTCGTTGGCCGCGCCACGCTCGAAAAATGCCGACATGGCTTTTCAAGGCCCCTGCATCCTTCTCGTAAATCCTTAATATACGCGTTGATTGTAGTAGCCTCGCTGTACGCTCTTCGCCCGAGCGAAGACCGCTTCATGCGCGCGACCGTCGCGTCGGGCGAGCGACCGTTGCGGACTTCCGCGTTTCCTTACGCTTGCGCCATGACGCCGCGCATCGAACCCTTCGGCGGTCAGGAGGCGGCAGAGGGGAGGGGGTAGGGAGGGTGAGAAGTGAAGGATGAAGGGGAGGGTAAAAGGTGAGGAGGGAGGGGGGGAGGAGGGGGGGAGGGGCAGGAGTGAGGAGGGGGGGAGGGGCAGGAGGAGGGAGGGTGGGGGAGGAGCGGGGAGGAGGGGGTAGGAGGATGGGAGGGAGGGAGGGAGGGAGGGAGAAGGCCGAGGAGAAGGAGAAGGAGGAGGATGAGGAGGAGGAGGAGGACCAGTGTAAACCCAAGAGTCATCAACGATGTTGGAAGTAACCCTCCCTCCAAGCTCCCTCTTCGTAGGCCCTTACAAAGGTTCATGTCCATTGAGGGAACTGCCTCGTTGGAAGAAAACTTTGTGAAGACCCTGAAGCATGCCAAAACATTATTCTCAGGATTTCAACTCCACGGATCAACCTGACTGCTGCGTCTTGACGATCCAGAATCGTGCCAGAACGCAATATGTGGGAATTCAACACTGCGAATCAACATAATAGGTGCAACCGCATAATCCTGAATCCTTCCCAAACACCATGTGTGATACGCTGATGGGAGTATGCGAACCTCTTGCACATGTCTAAAACGAATGTGCTCGGCGCTAAGGCGAGAGCCACATGTTGAAAAGGAGCCAGCCTCAACCCGTGAAGGTTCTGCAAATGTATAAGACGAATGTGCGCGGAGCTAAGGCGGGAGCCACATTTTGAAAACGGCCTGCCCCTAATCCGTGACACTCTTGCAATGTTTTCAAACGAGTGCGCGCGGTGCTAAGGCGTCAGCCACATTTTGAAAACCACCCGCCCTCAATCGATCGTTGAAACTCTTGCAGTGTTTTAAACGAATGCGCGTGGCGCTAAGGCGGGAGCCACATTTTGAAAACGACCCGCCCCAAATCCTTTAAACTTTTGCAAATAGTTAAAGCGAATGCGCGCGGCGCGCAGGCGAGAACCACATGTTGAAAGCTACCCTCCAATCCGCGAAACTCTTGCAGCTGCTACAACGAATGTGCGCGGCGCTAAGGCGAGAGCCACATGTTGAAAACCACCCGCCCTCTATCCGCGAAATTGCTGCCACTTTTAAAGCTTCAGAGTCATGAATGGTGCGGAAGTCTCAGGCAAAACGCCCGGCCCGCCCTAAAAATTGGCCCCGGGGTAAAGGAAGAGAGGAGGAGGAGGAGGTGGAGGAGGGGAGGAGGAGGAGGAGGCAGAGAAGGAGGAGGAGGAGGAGGAGGACGAAGAGGAGGAGCAGGAGGACGAAGAGGAGGAGGAGCAGGAGGAACAGGAGGAGCAGGAGCAGGAGCAGGAGGAAGAGGACGCGAGACAGGACAACCATCAGCTTGAAGTAGGAGGGGGATGGGGGTAGGAGGTTGGAGGCAAAACGAGGAGTAGGAGGAGGAGGTAGAGGAACAGGAGGAGAAGGAGGAGCAGGAGGAGGAGGAGGAAGGAAACCCCATGAGGTTCAGGCGTCTGCCTGAGGTGAGGCCATTTGCTTGCACTGGCTTGCTTGCACTTGCAGTTGCTCCTCCCCTTGCGTCCCCGCGTATCGCTGGTAACGCCCATCAGGCTCCTGTGGGCTACTCGTAAACTGCATTGTGGCCGGCAGGGCGCTGTCGAGTTGCGCATTCACGCGGACAAGTTCATCGTGTATGTGATCTTGTTTCCCGTTTGGGTGCCGACCATGCGGAACGGCCTCCCCATCACCTGCTCCAGTCGATGCGCATGGACATCGACAACGCCGCTGCCGTGGATCTCGGGCACAAGAACCCCAAAGGCGAGTCTGACGTCCGCTTCGTCGTCGAAGCCCTTCCGGTACGCCTCGGGGGCGTTCCCGCTGCGCCGCTGGCCGCAAGCCTGGCAGAATCGGAGCGCCTCGACCTGCAGCCCGAGATGACGGCCGAGATGGGGGAGGAGACTTACAGACAGCCGCCAGGCGAAAGCAATCGGGATGGTCCGTGCTCGGCGGCGGCGGAGAGCGAGCCGCGCGCTGCAGACGAGAAGGCGATTGAGAAGGAAAGGCTCCAGCAGCACGTTACGGCCGCTGGGGCGCACACTCGCTCCAGGCATGGCCCCCCCGCCTTACCGGCCTCGAGGCCGGGCCGTCGCTGAGTGGACACGAGGGCACCCTCAGCTTCTGCGACGAGGCTGCTGGCCGTTGGGCCTTCATCGCGGGCGCGGAGGCCATTCGCGTCATGGCGACGTGTGTTGGACCGATTGGGGCCCGCACCAAGAAGGCGTTTGGCTACTCATCTCAGCAGGCCGTTTGCAGGTACCGGCGTCGGGGCCCAGTGGCGACAGACCTAGCGTTCCAGCTGTTGTACGACCTAGCTGCCAGGGAAGTGCAGCCTGCGGTGGCCGCAATTTTTCTGCCGCTCTTTGACGACGAAGACGCCTTCGACAGTATGTACGGCAAGACTGCCGCTGTGAGCCCCGAGATCGTCAGACAGCGAGTGGCCGCTCAGCGCTCATGCACCATACGTGCCCGTTCCTTTCGCACGTCGCCCCCCCGAGATTCAAAACAAGAATTTCCAGAGGTCCGCGATGTCTTTGGTTGGAGATGGACCCCCTCCCTGGCGCGCGAAGCGCGCCAGGGGCAGCGCCAGAAGCGTCGCCACGGGGGCCCAAGAAATCCGCGTGGGCCTCCGAATGGATGGAATGGCGTAGCGGCGTCGGGCGAAGATGGACAACGGAAAAAGGTCGACTGGCCCCAGCCACACAGGGGAAGGAGCGGCTTCAGCAGCGACGGCTTTGTACGCGGGAAGGGCGGCTATAAGAGCTCCATTAAAAGTCATGGCCGCTTTGTGCGCTGAACTGTTCGAAAGGATTTGTTCGATGAGCGATTTCTGCTGCAAGGCGTCGCGCGAAGCTGCTCCGCTGCAGAGTCCCTCATCTTGCCGTTTTTGCTACCCTCGTATGTTTCGGATCTCCCACGTTGTCGTTTTGCCCCCCCCCTTGTTTCCCGCTGCACAAGGGGAATGACGAAAGGGGAGGCGGAGAGAAGGAAAGGGGCGAGCAAGGGATGGATGGGAAGGAGCGAGGGAATGGAAGGGGAACGGAGACCGGAGAGGAGAGTGCAACGAAGGGGGCGGGAAGGAGAGGATGGGGAGGGAGGGAGAGGGCGAGGGGGACGGAGGGGAGCCTGAGCGGGCGATGGGGGGGGGGAGGGTGCTCTTTTCCTGTTGCCACGCTCGGCCGCCCACCCTGTCCCCATAGTATGCTCGGAGGGGCCGTGGTGACTCCCCATGCGATGCGGACGTTGCAGCCCTGCTCGGCCGAGGCCTCCATCCCGGAGCGGGTGGCCTTCTTGGAGCAGGAGGTCGGCGATTCTGCCGACAAGCACGCGAGGCTGGCGACCGAGATGAAGGATTCCCACGTGTGCCGCTGTCGTCTCGGAAAGTGCGCTTTGTGCGAAAAGGGAGGTGTTCGGTCTTGTACGTGCAATGTCCCAATCGTTGCGTTGTGTTCTCTCCCTCTCTCTCTCTCGCTCTGTCTCTCTGTCTCTCTGTCTCTCTGTCTCACTGTCTCTCTGTCTTTCTCGCTCTCTCTCTCTCTCTCGCTCGGTCTCTCTCTCTCTCTCTCTCTCTCTTTTTCTCTCGCTGTATATTCTATAGGTATATATCTAGGTTTGATTATCTCTCTCTCTCTCTCTCTTTGTTATATCTCTCTCTCTTTCTCTCTCTCTCTCTCTCTCTCTCTCTCTCTCTCTCTTTCTCTCTCTCTCTCTCTCTCTCTCTCTCTTTGTATACACATATGTGTATACATAGGTATATGTGTTGTGTGCGTGTGCGTGTGTGAGTGTGTGTGTGTGTGTCTGTGTGTCTGTTTGTTGTTGTGCGGGCAAGTGTAAGTGTGCATGTGTGAAAGTGTTTGTGCGTGTGTATTTAAGTGCGTGCGAGTGTGTAAGTACGTGTGTGTAAGTGTGTAAGTGTATGTGTGTGGTGTAAACGTGTGTGTGTGTGTGCGTGTGGTGTAAATGTGCGTGTGTGTGTGTGTGGCTGTGTGGCTGTGTGGCTGTGTGCGTGTGTGCGTGTGTGCGTGTGTGCGTGTGTGTGTGTGTGTGTGCGTGTGTGCGCGTGTGCGCGTGTGCGTGTGTGCGTGTGTGTGTGCGTGTGTGCGTGTCTGCGTGTGTGCGTGTGTGCGTGTGTGCGTGTCTGTGTGTGTGTGCGTGTGTGAATGTGCGCGTGCGTGCGTGTGTGCGTGCGTGCGTGTGTGCGTGTGAGTGTGCGTGTGTGCGTTTGTGCGTGTGTGCGTCTGTGCGTGTGTGCGTGTGTGCCTGTGTGCGTGTGTGCGTGTGTGCCTGTGTGCGTGTGTGCGTGCGTGGATGCGTTCGTGCGCGTGCGTGCGTATGCGCGTGCGCGTGCGCGTGCGCGTGCGCGTGCGCGTGTGCGTGTGCGTGTGCGTGTGCGTGTGCGTGTGCGTGCGTGTGCGTGTGCGTGTGTGTGTGCGTGTGCATGTCCGTGTGCGTGTGCGTGCGCGTGTTCGTGTGGGTGTGCGTGTTCGTGTGCGCGTTCGTGTGCGTGTGCGAGTGCGTGCGCGTGTTCGTGCGCCTGTTCGTGTGAGTTCGTGTACATGTGCGTGTGAGTGTGTGTGCGTGTGTGCGTGTGTGCGTGTGTACGTGTGTTCGTGTGTTTGTGTGTGTGTGCGTGCGTGCGTGTGTGCGTGCGTGCGTGCGTGCGTGCGTGTGTGCGAGCGTGCGTGTGTGCGTGTGTGCGCGTGTGTGTGAGTGTGGGTATATGGTGTGTGTGCGTTTGTGTTGTGGAGTGTGTGCGTGTGTATGTGTTGTGGTGTGGCGTGGTGTGGTGTGTTGCGTTGCGTTGCGTTGCGTTGCGTTGCGTTGCGTTGCGTTGCGTTGCGTTGTGTGTATGTTGCGTGTTGTGTTGTGTGTGTTGTGTGTGTGTGTGCGTGCGTGCGTTCGTGCGTGTGTCTGTGTGTATGTTCGTGTGCGTGTGCGTGTGTGGGTGTGTGTGCGTGTGTGTCATGTTCTTTTTGTCTTGGTATCTCTGTATCTAGTGGACTTCGGCCCATCCTGCCACTGTGCTTGGGTTGTGGGTTATAGGCCAGAGGCCTCTCGGATGTCCGTTTGGAAATGGTGGGAGGCCTCTCGGGGGCCTCTTCGGAGGCAGTTTAAGGCCTTTGGGGGGGCCCTTTGTGGAGCCACTTGGGGTCTCTTTTTGGGCCTCTTGGGGGTCGGCCTCTAGCGGGCCTCTTGGGCTCTCTTGGGGGCCTCGTGGGGCCTCTTGGGGCGGAAGGCTCGAATTGTCAGGACGTGCTCCCCCTCGTGGGCCCCTCTTGGGGCCGTCTTGGGGCCCTCTTGGGCGATCTTGGGCGGTCTTGCGCCTCTTGGGCAGTTTGGGGGCCCTCTTGGGGCGTCGTGGGGCAGTCTTGGGGGTCTCTGGGGCCACCTTGGAGCGTCGGAAGCCCGAAAACGCGAGAACTCGACAACCATCGAAAGCCACACGGGAAAGTAATGATTGTTGCCTCTTTGGGCCCTCTTGGGGGTCCTCTTGTGCAGCGCTCTTGTGGCTTCTTTGGGCCGCTCTTGGGCTGTCTTAGAAGTCTCTTGGACCATCCGGGGCGCTTTCTGGTGCCCTCTTGGCCCGTTTTGGGGCCCTCTTGCTTCTGAAAAAGTCACGCGGGGCAGCCCAAGGGCAAGCGGGAGCGCCGGAGAAACTTGGGATGTTGGGGCCCCAGCCTTTAGAATACTAAAATCCCAGGGTCCTGAACACAGAGAACAGAGGACACATGAGGACCTGGAGGTTGGCGGATGTACATATAGATGTACACATCTGTATATAATTGCGCATGCGTGTATCAGTCATTGACCTACCATTGTTATATTCGAGGCCTGCACTACATACATCCATGCATATTCCGACATGTAAGCTTTCACAGGTATACGATATGTATGTGTATATATATACATGTAGTAGGTTGTATGCCCTCCTCGCTTTTGAATGAATACGTGTGTACACCTGCCTCTACACATGTGTGTATCAAGATGCCCCTTCTTTTATCGCTCAAGAGACTTACGCAATTCCCCAGAGGAAAAAGGACACCCACGGTTGAGACATTCCGGGGCCTCATGTGACCATTTCAAGGTCTCGTGCGGGTATCTTGGAGGCATTTCGGGGCGTTTTGGTGGTTTCCGTGGCACCCGCCGGCACAGGCGCCTTTCGAGCCGTGTTGCGGCATTCTCGGGTTGTCGCGAAGCTATATCGCGTGCGGTTTGGAAAGCTCTTCAGGGCTTTTGGATGGCTTCTTGGGGGTCTGTCGGGGCCTCTTCGGGGCACCTCGGAGGTTGATTGGGCCTCTTGACAGAGCTTCGGGAGTTCCCGGGGAAAGGCTCCGAATGTTAGCTTGTATCCCCTTTGAGCTGTCTTGGTGACCTTTGATGCAATATTTGAACCCTCTTGGGCCGTCCTGGAACCCTCTAGGCGGCGTTGTGGGCCGTGTTGGGATGATCTTGGGGCCTCTTGGGTCGTTTGGGACGATGCGAAGACGAACAAGAACGGGTACTCGAACTGCACGTTCCTTGGAGGGAGTGGGACGATGTTTGCCTCTTGAGGCCTTCTCGGCGATCCTCTGGGAGCACTCCAGGGCCGTCTTGGAGGCCTCGAGGGCCATCTTGAAGGCATGTTGGATCATCGTGAGTCTACCTCAGGCTCGGGTTCTCGTGGGGCCCTTTGGGGCCGTCGGGGAAGCTGGATTCGGAGTCTCCGAGGGCTTCGGAGTTGCGTTGTCGATGTCGTACCCCCCTGGGGGGGGTAAACTGGATGTTCGGCTCCTGGGGACGGGGGACGGGGGGTGGGGGACACCTAAATGTCTCACACGCCTTTGACCCCTGCAAGCGGGTGTCGGCGAATCAGCCGCCGGCTACGCGATCCGACTGGCGTGTAAAGTTGTTCATCGCTGTGTTGTTTGATACCACTATGGTTTAGAAGGGGACAGCGTCTACCATCTATGGTGGAGGTGATCGAAGGGAGGAGGAGGAGGAGGAGGAGGAGGAGGAGGAGAAGGGGAAGAAGGAAGCTAAGTACTTCTCGACGCCTGGAAAGAAAGCGAAGAAGGAGGAAAAGAGGAAAAAGAAGGGGATAAGGAGGGGGACCGCAAGAAGGAGGAGGAGGAGGAGGAGGAGGAGGAGGAGGGAATGAAGGACGAGTGGGAGGAGCAGCAGCAGGGAGGGGGACGAGGACAATGAGGAGGAGGAGGAGGGGTGTAAAAAGGATCAGCACTCTCTGCCTCTCTCTCGTATTGTTTGTCTTTCTCGCTCTCTCTCTCTCTCTCTCTCTCTCCCTCGGCCCCAGTCTCTGCCCTACTGTGCGCACACAGTAGTCCGACAAGGTCACGCGCTTCTCTTGTCTGTCCCTGGAGGCTCGCGAAATAACAGCAGGGGCAGGACATTGTCCGAGGTATAAGATCGAGGTCGGTTCGGGGAGGGTGCCCTAATTTTTTTCTTGCCTGTTGGATGTTCTTGTGCATCCTGGGGATGGTACCCTTAGATGTTTTGTGTGTTCTGGCCAGCCGAGGGCCCCATGATCGTGAAGGATGCTCGTCTGTCCTATGTCTGGCCGTACTGTCAGGTCGGGCATGTCCCCCTACAGGCGGATTCTTGGGCGTAGAATTTAATATGCTCCAAGAATATCCGAAAATAGCCAAAACAAAAACCAAAAAATCGTCCCTGGATTATTGCGAGGGCCTTACGGCCGATGCCGCCGACCCTGAAGGGGGACGACGACGACGACGACGACGACGACGACGACGACGACGACGACGACGACGACGACGACGACGACGACGACGACGGCGACGGCGACGACGACTTCGACGACGATCGCGAGTTCTTGTTGGGGCCTTCCCGGGCCCTCTTGGGCTGTCCTGGGGGGCCTGTGGGACGTCTTGGGGCTTTCCCGGGCCATCCTGGCGTGTTTTTGGGCCGTTCTGGGGAGCTCTCGGAGGCAACTGGGGCCGACGTGGAGTGTATGAAGCCTGGAAGTCGAGCAGGCGAAAAAACATGGGCGATTTCGGGACCTCCTGGTAGCCTCTTGGAGTGGGGAGCTTGAAATGTAAGTTGGTTTTCCCCCTCTTCGGCCTCTCTTGGGGTGTCCCTGGGGCTCTCTTGGGCGTTCTCGGTCGGAGAAGGGGGAGGGGGGGGGTCACGATTCGCAGGACGCTTCCAGGGACCCCGCGGGATCTCCTCCTCCCTCTCACCCTCCCCCTGGACCTCCCCTCTCTCGTGGGGAAGGGATTACAGGAACGGGGTCCCCGTCGAGTCGATTACGCTGTTGTTCGATTCTCCTCTCGCTGGAGCGATTGAGGAGGTGGGCCGAGGGAAGAGGGGGGGTGGTTCTGGGAGGCTCATGCAGGTTTCAGGGTGGTGCGGGGGAAAAAACGACGAAGAGCGAGGGGGAAACAGAGAAGGAGGAGGATGAGGAGGAGGAGGAGGCAGAGGAGGAAGAGGAGGAGGATCGAGGATCGGGGTTCGAGTCGATATTTCATTTGTCATGGTCTTTTTGGGGGGGGCTCTCTGGAAGCCTCCGAGGATATCTGGGAACGTCCTGGAGGCGTCTTGGGCCGTCTTGGGGCCCTCTTGGGCCGTTAGGGGACGCTTTTGGGCGCCTCTTGGGGTGTCTCGGGGCGATATTGGGGGCCTCCTGGGCGGTCCTGGCGCGTTAGCAAACGTCAGAGGCAAGAGCGCTCGAATCCTGCGAAAACGCTTGGAAAATCCACGATGTTTGCCTCTTGGGGCTCTCGTGGGAAAGCTCCTGGATGCCTCTTGGGGCGTCTTGCAGGCCTCTTGGGCCGTCTGGAAGCCGTGAAGGCGTCTTGGACAGATCGTCAGGCGAGTCGGGGTTCTCGTGGACTGTCTGTGGGGCATATTAGACCATACTTGGCCCTTTTTGGGATTCTTTTGAGCTCCAGGAATCCCCGGGAGAGCGTCGTATCTGACCCCCCCCCCCCGGGACCCTCCCCCCCCCACCCCCCCCCAGGACCCCCCCCCTACCCCCCCCCCACCCCCCCGGCGGGGGAGGGATCGAAGGGAAGGGGCTTCCCTTCGACTCCATTACGGCGTTCCTCAACGCCTGGGAAAGGAGTGCCCGACTTAACCACATTGGCGCCCGGCACGGAGGGGAGGGACAGGGCTGGACCTAAACGGTGTCTTGGTTGCTTTCGTGGGCCGTTTTCGTTTCGATTTCGTTTTGCGGTAAAAGACGGATGGATTCGAGACAAGAGCGAGGGACAACGAAAACACAACGAAAACGAAAAACACCGTTTGGGCCCAGCCCTGGGGAGGCACACGCGCAGCGTGCACTGGCGCGGGCCCCGCCGGTGCTAGCGGAGCCGCCGTGCCCACCGCCGGCCGTTTTCGTTCCGATCTCGTTCTTCGGTAAAAGGAGGACTCGAGACGAAAGCGAGGGACAACGAAAACAAGACGAAAACGAAAAACGCCGATTGGGCCCAGCCCTGGGGAGGCATACGCGCAGCGTGCACTGCCGCGGGCCCCGCCGGTGCCGGCGGGGCCGCCGTGCCCAGCGCCGGCGCGAGCGGGGGCAGGGGAGGGCAGCGTGAGCAGCTGCAGGGAGCGCTCGCCCCCGCCAAGCTCTCTGCACCGGGTGCCGGGTGCTGCTGTTGGCTTGCGCGCGGGCGTGCGCGGATCCCCGACCTCCTCGCGTCGTAAAAAAAAACGACGGGAGGTTTTTCGTATTTTCGGCCTCCGGGGGTCCTTCCCGCGCCTCGGGGCCGTCAAAAAACTACTCAGAACGAAAAACCTGTCCCGGGGAAGGGATCCAGACTTCTGGGGGTCGACGTTGCGAAAAAAACACGACGTCGGGGGTCTGGGATGGGTGCTCTCGCGTTTCATCTGCCGTCCGAGAGATCTGTTCGTGGATCGTCAGTCTTCTCGTTCTCCTCTCTCTCTCTATCTCTCTCTCTTTCTCGCTCTCTCGCCTCACCAGCCTTGTCGGTCTTACCTAGATTGCGCTCTCTGCTGCACTTGTCCTGCTCAGCACTGTCTGTATCGTGGCGGGCTCAAGTCTTGGATGCCGAGACAGGACGGGACCACATAACTGTCCAGTTTTAGTATGTCTCCCTAGCTTGCACTCTCTGTTGCACTTGTCATGCTCAGCATTGTCTGTTTCTTGGCGGGCTCAAGTCTTGGGTGTCCCGAGAGGACGGGGCCGTGTAACTGGCCAGTTTTAGCACGTCTCCCGAGCGCAGAAATGCGCGCAGGCGCTCCGGAAGTGCAGTGAAAAGAGAGGTCGTGGATCCCGATGTAAGGTTAGCGCGGACAGCAGAAGTCCTCCTCCTCCTCCTCCTCCTCCTCCTCCTCCTCATCCTCCTCTTTTCCTCCTCCTCCTCCTCCTCCTCCTCATCCTCATCCTCATCCTCCTCCTCCCCCCTTCTCCTCCTCCTCCTCCTTCTCCTCCACTCTTCCTCCTGCTCAGATGTTTTTCCCAAATCAGTGCTTGCACTGAATGGGTCCTAGCGGAAGTTGGAAGATTTGGCGAAAGTTTCCCGCCGCCGTTTTTGGTGGCAGGCTGGGTTCACGGGTTCCCGGTTTTGGGTTCCCAGGTTCCGTTTTTCTTGGTTCCGGGCTGATTTCGGTGGGTTTTGGGTTCTCGGGCTCCCAGGTTCCCCGTCGACCTCCTCAGCGAAAACCATCCATTGATTGGGGGTTGTCTCTGGTGTAATATGAGCCACTTGTTTTGGAAAGGTCTGCACGGACAGCAGCAGCACAGTCAGCCCGAGGAGCAAGGATAAGCGACGTTTCAAGGCTGCCCGTGCATCCTTCCCCTTCGGCCCACCTTTTGCCGCTTTCCCTGGCCGCGCCCCGCTCGCAAAGTGTCCGCATGGCCTTCCAAGGCCCCCGCATCCTTGTCGCACGTCCTTCTTATACGGGCTGACTGCAGGAGGAGCAGCAGCACGGAGGGCGAGGCGGAGGTCCCCGCCGATCTCGAGAGGCCTCCGCATGGGGGGGTCCCAAGAGGCCTCTCCGGAGGTGCCCAGAGAGGCCGCCAGCTTGGCCCACTGAGCATCGAGGAGGTTGAGAGTCCTCGGCCCTCGAGGATCGAGGAGGGCCGCGCGGGTGGTGGGCGCGCGGCGCTTCCCTTAGGTCGGGCATGTCCTCCTACAGGCAGATTTCGGAAGAGCAATTCGGCATAGCCAAAAATAATCAAACCTATTCAAACGGGCACGGAAAATCGTCACCATACTATTTCTTGACTATGTTCGACTGAACTTTCCTCCTCCTCCTCCTCCCCCTCCTCCTCCCCCTCCTCCTCCTCCTCCTCCCTCTCCTCCTCTTCCTCCTCCCCCTCCTCCTCCTCCCCCTCCTCCCCCCTCCTCCTCCTCCCTCCTCCTCCTCCTCCTCCTCCTCCTCCTCCTCCTCCTCCTCCTCCTCCTCCTCCTCCTCCTCCTCCTCCTCCTCCTCCTCCTCCCCCCTCCGCCGCCTCCTCCTCCTCCTCCTCCCTCCTCCTCCTCCCTCCTCCCTCCTCGTTTTTCTCCTGCAGAAGAACATTGCCCGACTCAACGCCTTCCCCCGTCGGGGCGCGGGCTCCCGAAGGCCTACGGGGAGCTCAAGCGCTCGCACTCGAAGCACGTGAGCGACGCCGAGGAGCCGGGCCGCCACGGGGGGGGGAAGGGCGGCGGCGGCGGGGGGGGGTCCAGGATCGAGGGCCTTCGAGGAGGAGGAGGAGGAGGAGGAGGAGGAGGACATCATCATCATCATCATCATCATCATCATCATCATCATCATCATCATCATCGTCATCATCATCATCATCATCATCATCATCATCATCATCATCATCATCAGCATCAGCATCAGCATCAGCATCAGCATCAGCATCATCATCATCCTCATCATCCTCATCATCCTCATCAGCATCAGCATCAGCATCAGCATCATCATCACCGTCATCATCATCATCAACAATAACTTCATCATCATCACATTATCAGCACGGTTCGGGAACCTTGAGGCGGGGGTCAGTGCAAACGCGGGTCAGCCAGAGCGCCGGATCTTGCAGGATCCTACAGGGCCAGGGTCGCACTGACCCGGGTCTGGGCGCAGGATCCTGCAGGATCTTGCAGGATCCTTCGCATTGACCCGGGCGTGAGTGCAAGATCATGCAGTATTCTGCAGGGCCTGACGGACCCGGCTCTGGATTGGCCTGGGTCAGAAGATCCCCGATCGGCCTGAGTTTGCTTGCGGGAGTTCGGCCGGTACGGTCAGGAATTTCTGGAGAGCGTGTCGCCACGGCGGCCCTGGCGACACGCTGTGCCTTGCAGACGGATGGCGTGTGGCTCCGCTCCGCGGGGCGGGAGGCTGGGGAAAGCTCGGCACGTGGACGCCTCGGGACCGCGAAGTAGACAGCGTGTCGCAGCGGGGCGCGGTGGGCCAGGACCAGCGGAGCGACGCGCTGTCCAAAAGCTCCCGACTGCAGTCTGTGACATCTCTCGAAGGAGCCTTGATCGTCGGTGCGTGCTCCGCAGTCCCACTCCCGCGTGCACTTCCCGAACAGCGTCTCGCGAGAAGGCTCTACAAGAGTGGGAAAGGAGTCAGGAGGGAAAAAAACACACAGACACAATGAATCGTTGATTCCCAGAAATATATGAAAATATATGGGAAGTGGGGGGAAGACAAAAATCCAGAAAAGATTGGAAAGTGTTCGGAATCTTGTCCATTTGTGTCGCAGAGAAGTCCCACATGGGGGCCGCAGGGCTTCTTCAAAGAGGGCCGCAGAGAAGTCCCGCATGGGGGGACGGGGAACTCCAGGCCGCCCGGTCCGGCAGCCGCTTCTCGTCAGCCAGCCCTCACGCTTCTTATGCAGGAGCCGTGCTCTCGCCGCACTGCCGGCTGCTCGTTTGGCCCAGACAGCCACGAACCCTCGTACAGTCGGGGCCTTGAAGAAGGAACCCTTTTCGTTGGGGAGGGGCTCCGCATTCCTTAATTGTTTCGCAGCTTGCCTCAGGTTGTCCTTCGGTTTTCGATCTGAAATCGAAGTTTAACTTATGGAACATAGCGGCCTCGTTCCTTATTTAGGGTTCCTTAGGTCAACGCCCCGACTGTACTCCTCGACCCGCCTCTTCACCTTTGCTGCTACCGGGGTGCTTCGCTGGGATAGACTGTGAAACCCCGCGCGGCTCGCTCGCTGCCTGCACGCCGTGTCGAATGTGTCTGCCCGGATTCAGAGAACTTGTGGACATGTGTTTGTGATAATGGATGTGTTGTCTCTTCCCTGGAGTAGCCGAGTAGTTCGTCTCTGCACGTGTCGTTCGCCCCGCGGTTCAGGCTCGCCACGGGTCGATTGAGCAGCGCCTTGCTTATTTGGAGAAGGAGATGGGCGATTCGTTCGACAAGCACGCGAAGCAGTTGGACGAAGTCAAGAAGGCCCGGCTTTTGAAGGACGCAGGCGATGGAGGAGGGCCGCAGTGATGAGACCAGGGAGGGACGCATTCGTCACCACCGCTGGAGAAGGCCCGCCCCAGCGGGCCCGTCCGGGTCACCGCAGCGGTGCTGGAGAGTGGACGGCCTCCCTCGCGACGAGTCCCTGTGCCGCCCCCTCGCACCTTTTCTCCCTCGCCTCCCCCCGTTGCCGGCCGTTGCTCTCGGGCCGCGCACGGCACCCGCACCGCACAGCGCCACAAGGCATCACAGCGCACTGCACGAAGCCCGCCGCGAGGAATCGGTTCACGTCTCACGGGGCACAGGGCGCGTCACAAGGGCACACAGTATTGCAGCACACCCTGGCAGACGACATCAAACGGCACGCTTAGTGAGTGACAATTGAACGCGTCACAGTTGACACTGCGTGTGAGCATCCCACACCACATTCAACCACACCGCACGTATAGCACCGCACGCATTGTTAGCCAAGAAACCGTTCCGCATTTGCTTGCGGCAAGCATGCTGGAGAGAGTGTGCAAAGTGTCGGACTTTAAGGGACGAGCGCAGCAGACGGCAAATGCAACAACAATGGACAGAGAGAGAGAGAGAGAGACCGAGCCCGAAAAGCGTTGAGGATATGTTATCCCGAGCCGTTCTTGGCAAAACATGATGGTGCATCCCCAGGCACACGACAAGCACGCTGGTCACATCGATGCGGTCAAGTCCTGGAAGGCGCACCATGCATCAATGGAGGAGTTCCGAGGGGAACGGCAGTATTTCTGCCTCGCGCGCATGTTTGAATGGATCAGCGGCGAATTGGGATGTACAGCTGGGTGAATGTCGTGAGTAGTGGTTGTGGGATTCGTGTGCGCTTGCAGTGCCATGCATGGTGCCTGTAGCCCGAAAGAGGAGCGTATGGCTTACTTGGAGAAGTTGTTGAACGACTCTGCTGACCAGCATGCCAGGATCGCGCCAGCTCAGAGCATGCAGTTTGGCAAACACCAGTCGCACATATAACGCATCGGGTTCAGCTTGGCCCTCCCCCCATATCCCCCATCGACCCCACAATTCTTAACATATTCCAGTTCTCGACCTCGAACGTCATGAGCGTGCCCACGATTCAGCTCTTGGGATCCCATCGTCTGTTAGCATACCACTGATGATTATGTTGCCTCTACCCTTCCCCGTTTCTGGCTCTTCCAACCTCGTCCCTGCCTCCTCCTACCTGCCACCGCCATCCCTATTCGATTCCTCTGCGAGGACACAAGGGGCCGCGCGAATGCCTTGTCCGACCGACCTCCATCCCTCCCCCTTTCGGTGGCACCGATACCGCCACTCCCCGGACCTCTCCCGGGCTGCATCCTGACCAGAGTTTCCAGGCGAATCCAGCCGTAGCGACGACGGCTTTTCAGGAGGCCCACAAAATGGGGAAACCGAGCGAGGGGTGGCGGCAGAGGTGCGTAGGCGTCTGGCCGTGCCGCCCCGGGCGACTTCTGGACCGGCTGTGGGCCTGCCTGCTCGCCGTGCTGCCCCCTGCTCCCGAGCCATACACACGGCTCATTTCTAAAGATTCGAAGGTTTTTTGATCTTTTTAGGGGGGAGCCCAAGATCCTTTCATTCCTAGTTGTTCTGTCCTGGGCCTCTTCCTGGCCACCAGGGGGCCAGGAGCAGTCAGACACGAGCAACACTAGAAGCGAGCACGGTGAGAAGTGAACGACGTGTACACGCCCGCGCCCCCTCACGGCACGCGGACCGCCGCCGTGCCTGCTCCGACCGACCTCCAGCAGATGGACCATAGAGTCGAAACCGTGCACACTCGAGGAAGGGTCTAAACCACCCCCGCGCCCCCGACACCAATGCTGATCTCAGTCGAGGCGGTGCTTTGCGGTTTGAACAGTTCTGTCCACTCACGCCCCCCCCCTGTCGCCACGCCATCAATATTCATTTCGGTGGGTCTGGGGGCCTGGCATCGCTCGGACGTGTGTATTTTTTTCTCAACGAGGACCCTTGAGGAACATCCTGGACCATCGAGCGAAACAAACACGCACGAAACCGACAAATGCACGGGAAATGGAAGTCCGAGCGACGGCAAGGGGGGGCATCTTGGGCCACAGGGTTCGAATACAATGTCCATGTACGGTCCCTCCCCGCCCCCGCCCGCCCGCCCCAGTCAGGGCCGGCCCGATCGCCCCGCCATAGTTTTGTCCACTCACGCCCCCCCCCCCGTCGCCACGCCATCAATATTCATTTCGGGGGGTCTGGGGGGCATCTTGGGCCACAGGGTTCGGATACAATGTCCGTGTACGGCCCCTCCCCGCCCCCGCCCGCCCGCCCCGGTCAGGGCGCAGCCCGGTCGCCCCGCAGGTCGGGGGGCTCGCCGCCGGCCGCCCCCGGCGCGGGGCCCGCCCAGCCCGCCCCGACCGCACCCCGGGAAGCCGCCTGGCCCGTCGGAGGGGCGGGCGGGCGAGGCGCCCTGGCTCGAGGGAGGGGGAGGAGGCTGAGGACGAGGAGCAGCAAGGAGGAGCAAGGAGGAGGAGGAGGAGGAGGAGGAGGAGGAGGAGGAGAAGGAAGAGGAGGAGGAGCAAGGAGGAGGAGGAGGGGGGGAGGAGGAGGAGAGGAGGAGGAGGGAGGAGGAGGGGAGGAGAGGAGGAGGAGGAGGAGGAGGAGCAGGAGGGAGAGGAGGAGGAGGAGGAGGAGGAGGGAGGAAGGAGGAGGAGGAGGGGGAGGAGGGGGAGGATGGGTTCCATTTCCGCACGGCCACATGCCCCCGCCTAAAGGGGACTCTTCAGCCAGCCAATCTGGCTCATCGGACTCGCCTCCGTGCGGAGAGTCCTGAGGCCGCACGAGGGGCTGCTCATCTTCCTCCTTCCTGAGTGCCTCGACCACCCTGAGAGACACCCTGAGGGCCTCTCTTTCTCTCTCTCTCTCTCTCTCTCTCTCTCGAAGGGAGGAGGCTGAAGCAGAGGGGTGAGCAACACCCTCGGCTGGCTGCGAGAATGCTTCATCCCCTCCCCCCGTACACCCACTCGCCCGCCCCCCCCCCCCCCCCCCCTTCTTCCCCCCCCACCCACACACACAAACAAAAAAAACGGCGCGGCAGCGAGACCAGGATCGGCGAAGGCAGCAGGCGATGACGAGCTTACCCTCCAGGGCGAGGGGAGAAGCTGAACGTTCGTCAGCCTCTTCTTTTTTTCCTGAGGACGACGCCCCGCGCAAACATATTTCCAGTCTGTGCGGCCAGCTCCACCCTGTCCAGGAGAGCACGGAGAGGCGAGATGAACGAGCTTGCCACCCGTGCTGTAGTGGTTGGTGACACTTCAGGCGCATGCACCAAAAGGAGACATCGGTGCAGTCGAGGAGAGCGCACTGGTGGTTGCTAGCGGCTAACAGCTCTGGGGTCGAGTGATGTGGCTTGACGCATCTGCCTGGGGGCGGTCCTGCCTCGCCCCTCTCACCTCCCAAGCAAGCCGTGCACTGCCAAAAAGTGGAGGTCCAGATCCAGTCGTGGCTGGCCTCTCCAGGCCCCAGGAGCCTATAGGATCAGGTCTAACGGATTCTACCTCCGAGAGGTCCAGGCGCGGCCACGAAGGGAGGACAGTCATGGCTATCTGGATGACGGCTCTCGGAATCTGGACATGTTTGTCCTCTCCTCTCTGGTTTCGGGTGCCTGGGTCGGGGACGGCGTGAATTTGGGCAGCTCGGCGGCGGTGTCGGCGGAGCTGCTCCCCGCACGACGCAAGCGCTCCAGCTCAGGAGCGCCTTCTTCATTATGAGCTTTGTGCGTCACCACTTTGGCGACATCAAGAACCTTCCCTACAGAGCCCCCGAACCCTTCGACCACAGATCCCGAATCCATCCTATGACCAGCGACACGCTCACTAGCAGGTCTCCGAGAGACCGCTGCAACGCTGGCGCTGTCCGAAAAAATTGCGTTTCCTTTAAGATTCGCACCCGCAGCAGCAAAACGCAACATCTCGCCAGCCTGAGAAGACTGCGGGAAATGGCCCCAGACGGGCCCATAGCACCAGCTCAATAGTTCCAAATCAGAGGAGATGTTGGCGAACCCCCAACCAGCCCTACTTAATGCCTGAATGACAGATTTGAAAGAACTGCCATCCAAGAACATGTCCCCTCGGAAGCCACCCCCTCTGACAGAGCTTATCGGGCACTATCTTCGAACATTTGACAAACAACTCCTTCCATACTGGATTGATCCAGTGGCCGTGGACAGAAATCCCCAGGATGAGGGAAAGATGCAGAAGCATACACCAGCAGATCCTCATCAAGAGAGTCACGAGCTTCCAAAGCCTGCCTAGTAATTCCTGGATCCACCTCTTCGTCTCTGGAAGAAGTAACCGCCGAGCATTCCCACATCCTGTGGAAGATCGTGTCTTCCTTAGCCTGACATAGCGGGCAGAGCACGGAGATTTGGTAGCCCTTAGTGCGCGCGCGGCGACATGTCCAGATCGCATTGCAGCAACAAGATCGGAGGCATCCACGCTGATAAGGCGATTGCCTCTTCGATCGCAGGGCCGCCTGAACAATATCATAACAGAGCCTGGCCTACCGAACAGAGGGAGGATCAGCGACAATCAGGTCGTCACCTAGCTTGTAGAACAGCGGAGAAGGAGCAACGAGAGACCCTTCAATTTCTCCCAGCCTAACTCCTCCTCCAACTCCTTCCCCTTCCCGAAGATGCGGTCTGATAGCCGCGGTACCAGCAAAACATCCTCCATCAAACAGCTTGCCCAGCGCCTGCCTTTCCAGCTGGCGCAGGAGAGCTTCCCGCAGAGACTGCTTGATCGTGGCAGGGGAAACCAATGTACACGAAACCGTTCCCCCGAGGTCTTCTCTGAACGTGGTGAAGGACCCCATGGACCAACCCAGACGTCTAACCGATGAAAACATAGCCGACATAGTACCCGAGCCTTTTCTCCACGAGACTGTCCTCCAGCTCCCGAAGAGGTCCTCAGCGTCACCCGATCAATACATCCGTGGGGAAGCCGAGATCGACGAAACCACTCAGTCGTCACAGTACCGAACCACAGGAGCCACCTCGCCGAGTGCCCGCCGTGCCGCTCGGCACCTCAGCATCGCTCTGGGCGCCGCCGGAGCGCAGGGTCACCTGCAGGGACGCACGTCGCCCGAGCCGAGGGCACGCCCGACTGGCTCCCTGCGGTCGTCCTGGCACGCCGCACTCGAAGGAGGTCCTCCTCCGCCTGCGCCCCCCCCATCTCCTGCAGTCCCCCTCGGCGCCCCTTCCGCTTCCTCTCCCTCCTCCCTCCTCCCCAGGAGCCGCCGCCGATCGCGGCGAAACGTGATGGCAACATGGTTTGGCCTCTCCGCTCCAAGCGCACGAGCGCTCAAGCGCGAAGCAAAAATTGTCTCGGTAGGAACCGGCCTTCGTGGCTAAACGTGATATTAAAATGGTGTGGTGGCGTTAGCCCGGCCGGCCACCCGTGGGGGGGGGGGGGGAAACATTCCCCTCCGGCGCCCCCCTCTTGATAGCCACCCACTCAATAACTGCGCGCCTCAAACACAGGCTCACACATGCGTTCAGGAACCGCTTCTCGGCCTTGGCAGTGCTTTGCTCGACCATTCATCCCGCTCTAGTCATGCAATGTTCGCACTGTCGTGGTATGGATGGCCTTCCTTAAGGGCCCAGGTCGCGCGCAGGGGCATTTGTAGATTCCTTAAACAGTGCTGACACTGAGGGTTTCTCGAGCGTTTCCCACGTCCTAACTGCGTGGGCTTCTTACTTGCGTCACCTATGGAATTGGATGGGTGTGCCGAGGTTTCGCCACGTTGCCGCCTAGGGACGCCTCGGGGGCGCTTCGCGTGCTGTATGGCTGTGCCGAGGTTTCGCCGCGTTGCCGCCCATGGGCGGTCGTGGGCGCCTCGTAGGCAGATGCCATCCGATGTACAACTTGCACCACAGATGCACCACCTAGCTTGTACCACATACATAGCGGATGCGGCAAATATAGCACCACATAGTTTACACCACAGAGCTGACACCACACAGCGTACACCACCACATACTTTACACCACATAGACTGCATCGCATAGTTTACACAACGTTTCTTGTACCGCATAGGTTGCACCATATGTCTTGCACCACATAGATTGCACCACATGGACGCCCGCGCTGCTGGCGCTGCGGGCGGCGCGAGCGCCGCGGGCGCCGCTGGTGCCGCAGGCGCCCCAGGCTTCGTGGGCGCCGCGGGTGGCGCCAGGGCTGCAGGCGCTGAGTCCGCCGCCAGTGCTGTTGTCGTTGGCGGCGCTGCCGGCGCCGCGGGCGCCTCGTGCGCTGCCGGCGCCGCGGGCGCTGCCGGCGCCGCGGGCGCTGCCGGCGTTGCGGGCGCCGCGGACGCCGCGGGCGCTGCGTGCTCCGCAGGCGCTGCGGGTGCCGCGGGCACCGCTGGCGCCGCGGGTGCCCCAGGCCTCGTGGGCGCCGCAGGTGCCGCTCGGGCTGCTGGCGACGCGTGCGCCGCCGGTGCTGCTGGCGCTGCCAGTGTTGCCGCCGCCGCTGGCGCCGCGGGCGCCTCGTGCGTTGCAGGCGCCGCGGGCGCCAAAGGCGCCGCGGGCGCCGCGGTTGCCGCTGGCGCCGCGGGGGCCACTGGCGATGCCGGCGCCGCGTGCGCCGCTGGCGCCTCCGGCGTTGCGGGCGCCGCCGACGCCGCGGGCACCGCGGGCGCGGCTGGCGCCGCCTCCGCTGCCGCGGACGCCGCTGCGGCGGCGGCCGCTGCCAGGCTCTGGGCGGCGGCGGCTGCGGCCCGCGCAGCGGCCTGGCCGAACGCGCCACTTGGCCTGGAGCATGGATTCCAGCTGTTGGATCTCAAGCGACACGAAGGACTTGAGCAACACGATCTTGAGCATCTTGACGCACTCCAACACGACGAACGTGAGGGGATTTCCCATCAATCAACACCATCGCGGCTGCACCAGCTGTGCCAAATCAGCTGGTCGCCTTGCTCGCTGGCGCGTGCGCGCCAGCGCGGCCGCAGAGATACGCCAGCAAGTATAAATGAGCAACCGCAGTCGTGGCCGAATGGGTTGTGCCAAACAAGTGGCGGGTGGGAGGGCGAAATGCGCGAGCAGTGGAATTGACGACTTTAAGGTCGTCATGCCCAAGTGCACCGCATAGCTTTCACAACATGTCTGGCACTGCATCGATTGCACCACGTTTTGATACCTACATGTTCGTGTGCGTCAACCGATGTACCTATGTATATAAATGTGTGTGCGTAATACCGCATGTTTGCCTGACACTGCGCGCACCATTGACATTTCTTCTCGTACCTTGCGCCGCGTAGGGCGCACATAGTGCAAGAACCCACAGCTTGGAATCCACGCGTGCAAACAGTATTGAGAGCTGCCCGCGTTGCCTGCGTATTTCGCAGTTGGGGAAACCGAAGCCCAGTGAGCGCAGCATCGCGAACGGTCGTAAACCCGTCGTTGCGCGCTGGTGTCATCGCCGCGGGTGCTGCATTCGAGTGCAACCTGCGATGCATAAGCACATATTGTTTTTGTCATATTTATCAGGGTATGCAGTTCTTCGACGTATTGACGCATTCTTTGGGGAAGCGTTCGCGTATCACTCCCAGGGGAATGTGCGTCTGCTGGTGAGTTGTGGAAACCCCGGACTAGCTCCCAGCGTTTGTGCATATTGGCAGTTTAGGCTTCTTTCTCGCCGATCTATGGGCGACAGCCGTCTCGCAGCTACGCAAACGACAACACGGTGATCGGTAGGCGGCTGCTGCCGGTAACGATATTGGCAGTTCGGTTTGGCACACGATCGGGAAGCATATCGGACAATTGCATATCGTTTTGGCGGACGAATTCCTGCCAGATCTCATGCGACGAGTTGGCAAGATCATTGGGCATGAATTGTGTCATCAGCAGGGTCTACTTACCCCATGTTCCCCCTCGTCTGACCATCGCGGCACTGCTCTGGCAGCCAAAACCGCAGTGGTTTTTGGTGAGGCGTTGCGTTCGCAACACTGCGCGAGCTCTATACCGGCGCCCGTCGAGGTCTTGTCGGCTTTCGTTGTTCCCTTTAGGGGGTAGGTGGGGCCTGTGCGATTGCTCCAGTGGTTGCCCCAGCGATTGCTGCAGCTCGCAGGTGGGAGCAGGCGGTCAAGGCATGGGCGGCGTGCTGAAGGCATCCGTTGGTGTCTTGCTTCCTGCTTCGTGATCGTTTAGTGTGTATTAGTGTTGTTTCGTGTTGCGTAGCGTTGCTCGTGCACGCCGGTCGGCGCGCGCGCGCGCGGCATCGCAGTTGTGCGAGCAATGCCAGAGTCCTAAGATCGGCCGCGACCTTTTTCAAATTTCCTTTCTTCTTGTCCCTCCCGCAGGCGAACTAAATTGCACTAAATTGTATCAAACGCAACTGAATTGCACTAAATTGCATTCGTGTGGGGCGCACTAAACGCCACTAACTTGCACTAGATTGCACTACATTGCACTAGATTGCACTAAATTGCACTAGACGCCACGAAATTGCACTAGACGCCACTAAATTGTACTAAACTGCACTAGCGTCTCCCGCCGCGCCACACTAAACGCCACTAAATTGCGTTAAATTGCACTAGTGTGGGGCGCACCAAACGCCACTAACTTGCACTAAATTGCACTAAATTGCACTAAGCGCCACTAAATTGCACTACACGCCACTAAATTGCACTAAATTGCGCTAGCGCCTCCCGCCGCGCCACACTAAACGCCACTAAATTGCGCTAGATTGCACCAGTGTGGGGTGCAGGCGACGCTAAGTTCGACAAACGAAGCTCCCATCATATGCCACCTAAGGACTGGTTGTGCGGAAGGGCGCTGCGCTGTAGGATTTGCGGTCTGGGAGCGCCCGCGGCCCAGTCTGCGGAGCGCCCACTGCGCAGCGCCCCCGCGGGGTGCTCGTTCGCCCGCCCCCCTCCTCTGCCTTCGCCGATGCGACGGCCGCGGAGAGCCCGCGCCTGCGTGGCGACGACCGCAGGAGCAGACCCTCTGGACTCGTGCCGACGCCGGGAGATCCACAAGGCATGGCCCGCCGGTCACGGCCCTGGTCGAGGGAAGTTCCTGGCATCGCTCGGATGTGTGCATGTTTCCTTCGGCGAGGACCGTCGAGGAGTCTCCTTGATCATTTGGCGAAAAGAGCACGCACAAAACCGACAAAAGAACAGGGAATGGACGTCCGAGCGATGGCCAGAGTTGAAGCTCGCATGAGCGAGGTCTTTGCCCGACAAGGTGACGGTCTTCGGAAAGGTGTTCTTCTTGGATCGCGTCGCAGGCACGGTGGCACCATCGGGCGGCGGTTCAGCGAGCACACTGCCTACCCCCAGCGACGATCGCGGGACTCCTGCCCGCGACAGACCCACAAATGCAAGGTCCTTGCTGAGTGCGCAAATTCGTTGTTCCTCCTCCTCCTCCTCCTTTTCCCAGCCTTCAGTGTTCCCCTCCCATTCTCTGTTCTCTGCCTGTTCTTGCTCATCCTACTCCGCATTCTCCGCCTCTTCCCCGTCACCCTCAACATCCTGCCATCACCATCCTCATCCGCCGCCGCCTCCGCGTCATTCTCTCCCCCTCCTCCCCCTCCCCATCCTGCTCTCACTCTTCCTGCTCCTCATCCCCCTTCTCCTCTTCTCCTCTTTAGCCGCTTTGGCCCAAGAAGACATTCTGCATCGACCTGTTCTCCCAGCAGGGTGCATCTTGCTCTGCCGACATCGACCCGCCCGCGTCGAGCTACGAATGGCAGACAGCAGGCGCGCCTCGTTCCGCGACATGGTCGAAATTGTCCAGTTCGATGCAGAAGAGAGCAATGGCAACCGCCAAAGCAAGTCTTTGTGCGTGGCGACCGCAGGGGCACGCGCATTGAAGCGGCAGTCGTCCCCAGCGCCCGCGAGGACGGGGTGGGCTGGTTTTGCGTCGACGACGTTGCCGCTGCAGGCCCCTGCCACTCGCACAGCGTCGTGCGCCAGCTCTTCGAACGAATGTTCCTTGCTAGCTGCTGGTTGCTCGCCCAGCAGCAGCATGTCCACCGCGGCGGGCGACAGCGACGCGGAGGAGGCTGCCCAGGAGAACGTGTTCGCGAAGGCGGCCGAGAGACGGCGCATCCGGCGCAGCGTCACCGCCAATCATGGACCAGGCCTTTCCCCACACGCCTTGCCAGCGATGACGATGTCGAGGATCCTCACACGGCGTCGAGGTGGGTCCGCCGATTTCGGCATTGCAGACATCAGCTCGGGCCCTGCAGACGACAGCATCGACCGTCTTTCTGAGAGAGTCCCTGCTTTCTGATGGGCCCGTCCTGGACTTTGACGCCTCAGTCTTCGTGGGATTTCTGCCCTGGGATTTTTCAGCTTGGGCTTCGTCACACTCCCTGACGGCCCCGTGAGGCGTCAGGCCGCCCCGATTCTCCGGAATCCGGGTCTTACGTCTCCCCGGTGTGGACGCTCGTGAGAGCGGCGGACACACTTGGCCTCCGGGCCTGCGGACCGCTGCGCCCGCCCGCCTGCGTTTGCGGGCAGGTCTTCGGACGATGGCTGGGCACGCATGACCATGCTGGCCCTTGCATCGGAGACGAGGGGGTGAGCTCGCAGTGAAACGGAGGGCCCCCCCAAACAGGAAGTCGGTGTCGGTTTCGTGCTCGTGTCGCGCGTGCGGGCGAGGCGACGCGGCGTGGGCGGGCGAGGGGAGTGAACCCTCCTCTGGCTGGGGCGCCCGCGGGGCAGAAGACCGCCCCTCCCCGGGTGGTCCGGCGGTGGCCGGGGTTGTCCCTTCAGTATCCCGCCCGCGCCCCGAGATCGATAGAGAGATAGATTCAGAAGCTGGGCGAGGGCTGGCAAATCCTTGGCTGCTAAAATAGTATTCCCGGAAGAAAAAAGAACTCCCGCCATAAAGCTCAGCGCACTCAATATTAAGCGGGCTGCTTCCCAGAAGAACAACAACACATTCCGGGAACTCCGTTTCAGCAGCCACTGGTTTGCCACCCTTCGCCTGGCTTCTGATAGATAGTGTTAATCGGACCTGTCCTTCTACAGGAGGAAAATTCCAAAATATTCAAAAATAATCGGGGGACGATTGCTTTATTATTTGTCCCAACCATCCTGTGGTGTTGGGTCCTCGTTTTGAAGAGATAGCGCCCCGCGTCCCTCCTCCTCCTCCTCCTCCTCCTCCTCTCCTCCTCCTCCCCCTCCTCCCCCTCCTCCCTCCTTGCGTTTCACCCACCCAATGCAGCGCTCCGTGGCCCCACAGGGAGCTCCACCGAAGGTCCCAGTGGCACCGCCCGCGTGCGCCAGCCACCACCCACCACAGCCCTTGCTCCCTGCGCTTCGCCCCCACCCAGTACAGCGCTTCGTGGCCCCATAGGGAGCTCCACCGAAGGTCCCAGAGGGACCGCCCGCATGCGTCAAGAACCACCCAGCAGAGCCCTTGCTCCTTGCGCTTCACCCACCCAGCACAGCGCCTCGTGGCCCCATAGGGAGCCCCACCGAAGGTCCCAGTTGTACCGCCCGCATGCGCCAGCCACCACCCAACACGGCCCTTGCTCCCTGCGTGCCGCCCACCCAGTAGGGACCGCCCGCATGCGTCAGGAACCACCCAGCACAACCCTTGCTCCCTGCGTACCGCCCACCCAGTACAGCGCCTCGTGGCCCCACAGGGAGATCCACCGAAGGTCCCAGTGGGACCTTCTTCTTGCGTTTCGCCCACCCAGTACAGCGCTTCGTGGCCCCATAGGGAGCCCCACCGAAGGTTCCAGAGGGGCCGCCTGCATGCGTCAGTCCCCACCCAGCACAGCGCTTCGTGGCCCCATAAAGGGGGCTCCACCGAAGCCCCCAGTGGCACCGCCCGCATGCGTCAGCCACCACCCAGTACGGCGTTTCGTGGCCCCCTAGGGTGCTCCACCGAAGGCCCCAGTGGGACCGCCCGCATGCGTCAGCCACCACCCAGTACAGCGTTTCGTGGCCCCGTAGGGATATCCACCGAAGGTCACAGTGGGACCGCCCGCATGCGTCAGCCACCACCCAGTACAGCGTTTCGTGTCTACACAGGGAGTTCCACCTAAGGTCTCCGTGGCGGAAGTCGCATGGCGGCCCAATGGCGGAGTTCGCATGGCGGCGACTGTCGATGTTCGGAGGTTTTTCGTCGTACTCGACGTATTGAGGCCGCTTTCGGGCCGCGCATCTTGGGCGGGAGCCAGCCGGCTCGCCCTCTCTGCTCCGCGCAGCGGACGACCCGCGCGTGTCGCCGGGCCCCTTCGGGGCGACCAGCGCGCGTCGCGGGAACTCCGTGCGGCGCCGGGCCTGCAGCCTTGGACGCGGGCGCGCACGGGCAAAGAGGGAGAAGAATAACAGGAAGGAAGCGGGCGCGATCCTCGTGAGAGGTGTGCCGACATTGGCGTCGACATTTATGCACGTTGACTCACGCGCGCGCGGACTCATTCACAATCTGATTCACTCGCCTTCAATCTCTCGCACACAGACCTATCGTCTTCGCTCGCGTTGTGTGCCCCGCCGCGCATGTCGGCACGCCCTCACACGGTTCGTGGCCCCATGGGGAGCGCGGGCTAAGATGGTATTCGTAATTTCGGTAGTCACAATTGCATATGGTTGGGTCCTTCGCCAGGCTAGTTTCTATGTTTCGTCCAACACCCCCCTGTAAGAGGACAGGCCCGACCCAACGATAGTGAGATCGATAGTGAGTACGACAGTCGAAGGCGACAATTGGGGCGGATATCCCAGGGGGCAGCAACACTCAGGAGAGGAAAAAACACGCAGACACAAGCAATCGTCGGTCCCCAGGAAAATATGGAAAAATATGAGAAGTGAGGGGGAAGACGATAAACCAGAAAATATCAGAAACTATTGGGAACCTTGGGGTTAGTGTGTATATGTTTGTGTGTCCCTGGGCCCCTTCAAATACATATATCCGGAGACGCCGATGGTCCATGCCTTCGGCGAGGCTCACGGGCGAATGCGTGCAATGCCCGCCCTTGGGCAATTTGCCCTTTTTTTATCGTCGCCTTCGAGATCGTAATATCGATCTTGACATAGATCGTGAGATCGATCGGCAGAAGGGTAGTGATATCGATATTGAGAGCGATAGTGAGATCGGTAGCGAGGCCGATCGAGTGAGATCGATCGTGGGATCGATAGTTGTGTCCCGTCGGTGTCCCAGGGTGCCCCGTCGTGAGATCGATCGTAAGATCGGTAGTGGGGTCGAAAGTGGGGTGGTCCATAGTGGAAGCGATGATAAAATCCAGAGGCGGATCGATGGTGAGGTCGCTAGTGAAATCGATAATGAGATCGATTGGGTGAAATGCTGATTCCTCCTACCTCGAACTTCCTCATCACCAGAAAGGGTTGCCGTATAGGTAAGTAGGAAGGTTTGCCCGGATTGTTTTTCCCAACCATCGTGTGGTGTTGGGTCTTCGTTTTGGAGAGACGTCGCCCCGCGTTCTCCTCCTCCTCCTTTCCTCTCCTCCTCCCCCTTCTCCTTCCTCCATCACCTTCATCATCATCATCATCATCATCATCATCCTCATCATTATCAGCATCATCATCATCAGCAGCATCATCATCACCCGTTTCAGCATACCCCTCAAACGTTTCGTGGCCCCATAGGGAGCCCCACCGAAGGTCCCAGTGCTACCGTCCGCATGCGTCCCCCCTCCCACAGGACAGCGTTTCGTGGCCCCGTAGGGAACCCCACCGAAAGTCCCAGTGCTACCGTCCGCATGCGTCCCCCCCACCCAGTACAGCGCTTCGTGGCCCCATAGGGAGCCCCACCGAAGGTCCCAGTGCTACCGCCCGCATGCGCCAATGCAGCGCTTTGTGGCCCCATAGGGAGCCCCACCAGAAGTCCCAGTGCTACCGTCCGCATGCGTCCCCCCCCACCCAGTGCAGCGCTTTGTGGCCCCATAGGGAACCCCACCGAAGGGCCCAGTGCTACCGTCCGCATGCGTCCCCCCCACCCAGTACAGCGTTCCGTGGTCCCACAGGGAGCCCCACCGAAAGGTCCCAGTGCTACCGTCCGCATGCGTCCCCCCCACCCAGTACAGCGTTTCGTGGCCCCGTAGGGAGCCCCACCGAAAGGTCCCAGTGCTACCGTCCGCATGCGTCCCCCCCACCCAGTACAGCGTTTCGTGGCCCCGTAGGGAGCCCCACCGAAAGGTCCCAGTGCTACCGTCCGCATGCGTCCCCCCCACCCAGTACAGCGCCTCGTGGCCCCATAGGGGGCCCCACCGAATGTCCCAGCGTTACCGTCCGCATGCGTCCCCCGCACCCAGTACAGCGCTTTCCCCATAGGGAGCCCCACCAAAGGTCCCAGTGCTACCGTCCGCATGCGTCCCCCCCCCCCCCTGTACAGCGCTTCGTGGCCCATAGAGAGCCCCACCGAAGCCCCTGGAACTGTCCGCATGCGTCCGGAAATCTAATTTGGAATTTCACCCCACCCAGTACAGCGCTTTGTGGCCCCATAGGGAACCCCACCGAAGCCCCCAGTGGGACCGTCCGCATGCGCCCCGGAAACCAAATTTGGCACACCCCTCATACGTTTCGTGGCCCCATAGGGAGCTCCACCGAAGCCACCACTGGGACCGCCCGCATGCGTCCCACACACCAGGTTTTGCATTTTCTTTCCACCCAGTACGACGTTCCGTGGCCCCATAGCGAGTTCGCCCGGCGGCCCCAGTTCTACCGCCCGCATGCGTCCCCCCCCCCACCCAGTGCAGCGCTGCGTGGCCCCATAGGGAGCTCCACCGAAGCCCCCAGCGGGACCGAAGCCCCCAGCGGGACCGTCCGCATGCGTCCTGGAAACTAAATGTGGCACACCCCTCGTATGTTTCGTGGTCCCATAGGGAGCTCTACCGAAGCCACCAGTGGGACCGCCCGCATGCATCCCACACAACAAGTTTGGCATTATCACCCCACCCAGTACGGCGTTTCGTGGCCCCAGAAGGAGTTCGCCCAACGGCCCCAGTTCTACCGCCCGCATGCGTTCCCCCCCACCCAGTGCAGCGCTTCGCGGCCCCATAGGGAGCTCCACCGAAGAAAATATTCACAATTGCGGTACCCGCAACTGCATATGGTTGGGTCCGTCGCCAGGATATTTTTTCCGAGAGGTCGAGGCGAGAGAAGACCAGATGCGGGGGTATTAGTAGCAATGTCAGGTCTGAAGCAGCAAGGCGGTGCCAAATGACAGCCCTCGCGTCGCTGAGGATCGCGAGCGTAATTCTAGCCATTCCCCCCCGCGCTCGGCAGTGGTGTCTGGCCCTGCGCGCGGAGTTGTTGTCTGGG